AATGAAAATATATACATTTCTTTTAAATATAGAGTTAGAAACAGTGTGTTTAGCTTTATATGTTTTTTCCCCACTTAATATTTTGTTTCCTTTATTAAAAAATTTTTTTTTTGGAGACAGAGTGTCACTCCATTGCTGGGGCTAGAGTCCCGTGGTGTCAGCCTAGCTCACAGCAACCTCATACTCCTGGGCTCAAGCGATCCTCCTGCCTCTCAGGAGGATCGCTTGAGCCCGAGTAGCTGGGACTACAGGCATGAGCCCGAGTAGCTGGGGCTACTCGCTTGAGCCCGAGTAGCTGGGACTACAGGCATGCACCACCATGCCCAGCTAATTTTTTCTATTTTTAGTAGAGATGGGGTCTCGCTCTTGCTCAGGCTGGTGTCAGACTCCTGATCTCAAGGGATCCTCCCTCCTCGGCCTCCCAGAGTGCCAGGATTACAGGCGTGAGCCACCGTGCTCGGCCTGAGACTGGCTCTTAAAGCACCTCCTGGTGATCCTGTGCGTGCTCTTTTTAAATCTTCAACTGCCAGCTGAAAGCAAATTATCCAGCCGAGGGCTCTGGCTTCCCGGGCAGGGACGGTCTCCTACGTGCAGAGTCTTCTCCCCAGCCCTCAGCCAATCCACAGCGAGAAAGCAACTAGGACAGAATACATTTTTATTGCATTAAGCACCTACAATTCGGGGGTTGTCATAGCAAATAGCCTACCCTCTAATTCATTTATATTCTTCCTCTAAGTCTTAAAAATGTCCAAACCCGGCCGGGCGCGGTGGCTCACGCCTGTAATCCTAGCTCTCTGGGAGGCCGAGGCGGGCGGATTGCTCAAGGTCAGGAGTTCGAAACCAGCCTGAGCAAGAGCGAGCCCGTGGGGCTAATTATAGAAGAAATCTATGGAATAAGGTAGGTATACAAAAAGAATTAGGCCAGGTATTGGTGGCGGGAATGGCTGTAGTCCCAGCTACTTGGGAGGCTGAGGCAGGAGGAATTGCTTGAGCGCAGGAGTTTGCAGGTTGCTGTGAAGTAGGGCTGACGCCACGACACTCACTTAGCGCTGGGCAACAAAGCGCGAGACCTCTGTCTCAAAAAAAAAAAAGAAAAAAAAAAAAATGTCAAACGCCCCTGCTCCCTGTCGCTTTGTACACTTTTGCTGCAGGCCCTGTTTTGTTTGTTATAATCAATGAATATTTATTAAGCATCTACTATATATAAGTGCTCTGATAGCTAATTTCTGGAATGTAGAAATCGTTTAAAACTACGCTATTGCCTTTCTTTTTTTTTTTTTTTTTTTTTTTCTATTGCCTTTCTTTTAAAAACTTTTTGGTAATGTTTACTTTTAAAATTAAAAGTTTCACTATTAACAATATAGACAATATTAAGAAGGTTCCTAAGAACCTACTATTCAGATATAGATCAAAATGCTAATGGGTTATTTTTTAATAGTTTTTGAAAATGAAAATATATACATTTCTTTTAAATATAGAGTTAGAAACAGTGTGTTTAGCTTTATATGTTTTTTCCCCACTTAATATTTTGTTTCCTTTATTAAAAAATTTTTTTTTTGGAGACAGAGTGTCACTCCATTGCTGGGGCTAGAGTCCCGTGGTGTCAGCCTAGCTCACAGCAACCTCATACTCCTGGGCTCAAGCGATCCTCCTGCCTCTCAGGAGGATCGCTTGAGCCCGAGTAGCTGGGACTACAGGCATGAGCCCGAGTAGCTGGGGCTACTCGCTTGAGCCCGAGTAGCTGGGACTACAGGCATGCACCACCATGCCCAGCTAATTTTTTCTATTTTTAGTAGAGATGGGGTCTCGCTCTTGCTCAGGCTGGTGTCAGACTCCTGATCTCAAGGGATCCTCCCTCCTCGGCCTCCCAGAGTGCCAGGATTACAGGCGTGAGCCACCGTGCTCGGCCTGAGACTGGCTCTTAAAGCACCTCCTGGTGATCCTGTGCGTGCTCTTTTTAAATCTTCAACTGCCAGCTGAAAGCAAATTATCCAGCCGAGGGCTCTGGCTTCCCGGGCAGGGACGGTCTCCTACGTGCAGAGTCTTCTCCCCAGCCCTCAGCCAATCCACAGCGAGAAAGCAACTAGGACAGAATACATTTTTATTGCATTAAGCACCTACAATTCGGGGGTTGTCATAGCAAATAGCCTACCCTCTAATTCATTTATATTCTTCCTCTAAGTCTTAAAAATGTCCAAACCCCTGTCTCCTTGCTTTGTAGCACTTTTTCTGCGGCCCTTGTTTTGTTTTGTTTTTTTCATTTTATTTAATAACAGATGAAGTCGTCTAATCTAGTGCTCTCCTGGCTGTCTGTGTGAATATACTCGATTTCGCTTCCTGCCGCTTCTCAAATCCAAAGCAAGGCAGTAGGTTGCTGCACACATCACCTAAGACTTGTTTTTTTTTTTTTTTTTAACCAAGGATGTATCTAATATGACCCTGCAGGATCTTCTCCTTCTTCACCATCTATTGAGTCTTCTAACACTCTGCACCCGCAGGTCCAAGAAAACCTGTAATCTTCACGACGTGCTCGGAACAGGCGCTGAGCCTGCGTTCGTGCCTTATCGGAGGAGATGAGACTTCCCGGGACGCAATGAATCACCGGCCGCAAGGGTGACCCGCTAAAGGCTCTTGCTCCAGGAGGGATACGGCTGGCTTGCATTTTAGGGAAATAATTCTGGTAGTGCTAGCAATAACGGTTTTAAGAAATAGGAGGTTAGAAGGTGGGAACATGATGAAGGAAACTGCGAGGGGCCTGAATCGCAGCAGTGGGAACACGGGCGAAAGAAACACCAGCTTTGATAAAGCCGTCCTGGCGCGGCAACAGCCGTCTCCAAGAGGAAAAAGTAGCGGAAACTATGGAAGATGTCTTAGAAATTTCTTAAGTGCCGACGACTAAATCGGGAGCCCACGGAGAGAGATTTGGTGGGGAAACAAATGAATCCAACTCTGGAAATGCTGACTCGGAAGTGCCAGCGGAACCCCCAAGTGAGGAATGGCCTGTATGTCTAGATGCTTGGAAGACAGGCTGCACGGAAATGTGGGTGTGGGATTAGCAGCATGCTGCAGTGGAAACCCTGTGCATGGGTTAGTCCAGGAAAAGAGTAAGAACTGAGGAAAAGAAAAACAGCCAGAACTGACTGAATTCTAAATGCCTTCTTTTTTAGAGACAGTATAAGAATTACTGAAATACTCTGGGAATGAGTGGCCTGAAAGAAAAATAAGCTGGAGCCCAGATGCCAAGACATGAGAAAATTTCAATAATAACAGTTCTAATAGGCAGTTCAACCCATCTGTTAACTTTTAAAATTTAAATTATATATTTTTTTGTTTCTGGAAGCCATGCCTTTTCTTAATTTTACTCATATTTCCTGAGCTCTTTTTTCACTTCGTGAAATGTATCAAACATACATTATTTTATATCCTGACGATTGCAACTGCTCACTTTTTCTGGGTCACGCTTGCAGCGTGTTGGTCTGCCGGCTCTCCCTCGCGGAGCCTGGGGAGTCCACGGTGACTTTCAGCTGTGAGCCACGCGTTTCATGGACCACATGGGCAGAGTAGTTTTCTAAGTGCGACGTGAAGGGAGTTCTTTCAGAAAGGATTTGTTATTTGTAATGCCTTGTGACATTATTGGCCTGGGATCACTTTTAACTGAATTCTTGGCTTAAAGTTTTCCTAGCCATCCAGGTAGTATGAATGCTGGCTGCAAACCAGAAGGAGGGCCAATCAATCGACGGTGACCAGTTTCTTAGGTGATGCGGTCGGTGTGTGTGAAGGGACGTTTCTCCGCAAAAGGGGAGGGGAATGGGTTAATTTTAGTTCTCTTGCACCTTGGGTTCGGAAGCCTTTTGGGGAGCCTGGTTTTTGCAGTTCTATTAAACTTTCCATTTTGGGGTGGGTGCTGCATTTGGTTTTTTGGTCCCAAACCCACCACCTCAGATATCTCAGGTCTGGCCAAAGCCCTTAAGGGAAAAGCCAGCTTCATGCTCAGCTTGGCCTCCTCTGACCAGTCTTTGACCTTAGCATTCTTTATTTTCTGGTTACTCACGGATGCACTTTAAAAGATTTAAAAAATATTTTACCTGCATTTTCAGTTGTTTTCATCAGATCAGTTGATCCTGGCACCTAAGCTGCCATTGTTGCAAGGGAGATTTAATTTCTAAACACAGGTTGTTCCATTTGAAAATACACTGCATGTTATGAAAATCTAAACAAAAAGTGTTAGACAAATTGCCAAGTAATTGCTTGCACAGTTTCTTTAAATAATGTGTGTCGCTGGAGCATTTAGAGTCTGCTTTACAGGTTATTAATTTAACTACTTACAGAGAGTCTGGAATCAAAACAAGAAGTTAAATTATTTGGAACCATGATAGCCAGAGAATAATCAAAATATGTCCATATTCTGACCTATGCTACCCACCCCTATGTCAAAAACCTAGTCTATACTACTACAGTCTTTCACCTGGATTATTAAAATAGCCTCCTAACCGGTCCTTGCTTTTATCTCTGTTCCTTCCTGGCCCAAACTCGGAAGCCAGAGGCTGCGATCCTATTTAGACGTAAGTGAGATCAGGCCACGTTGCACCAAACCCTCAGACCGCTTCCCCTCTCACCCTAGATAAATGCCACAGCCGGACTCCGATCTCATGCTCTCGCCTCGATTTCTCAGCCACAGCTCTCCTCTGCCCTTGCTTTTCCTCAAACAGGCAGGAACCCTCTTGCCTTAGGGCCTCTGTGTCTGCTCCTTGTAGTTGGAGCCACCTCTACGTAGGTAGCATTTGGCTGTGCCCTGGTGCCCTGCCGTCTTGCTCCAATGGATCTTCTCAGCGAGATATTCTCAGGCTATTTAAAATTGAAACTTCCCCTCACCTCTTTCCAGCATTCCATATTCTACTTCTTCACAGCATTTGTCTTCTAATACACTCTATGCTTCTAATATACCAGCTAAATAAATAAGTTAATCTTTGAAACTCTTAGACCAATGCTTGACACACAAGTGATTATAGCAGTTTATTCAATAACGTGTAATAATTTACAAATCTGGTTTATTGTCAGACTCCATGAGGACAGGGATTCATGCTCTTTTAGTTTGTTGCTATAACACCAGCATCTAGAACAATGGCGGGCACCTGATAAATGCTCAAAAAATACATTGAATAAATAGAAATATCTAAAAATATATAAGAAAATATGATAGAAAAGGATTCAATTTGTTAACAATCAAATTATATGGTTTGAATAAAGAAGCTTATCCCATAAAACCAAGTCTTCAAAGACCACTCTCCAAAAAGAAATGTAATTAAAATTCAAATTTCAAAACTCTTTGCAATATGCCAAAAGGTACATTTGTCTAAACGACAGTATTTTGAGCTCCCCTGAAGGGCAGAACTCTTGGCTCACAGCTGCCTGGCGGGGCTCTCCAAACAGTCGTTTAATACAGATCTGCAAGTTCAAACAAAAGAGGAACCGTCCTTGCTCAGTTTCTAGACAATAACTAAAGAAAAGAGGAAATTTCCGGACATCAGCAAGATGCAGTATGGCACAGTTAAAAGACAAAAGGTTTGGAATTAACATATCTAGTCCCTGGCCAGCTTCTAATTCCTGGACCGTTTGGGATACTCTGTCTGCATAATCTCTTTGTAGTCTGTATTTTAGTTTCTTCATTTGCACACAACTCTGTTTATCTCCTCTCAAATGTCTAAAACAGGACCGTAGGCATAGTCTGTTACTAAAAATAAGCCAATCATATTTAAATTAATCAAAAACATTCAGAAAACGGTGCAAAGCACTTCTTTGTTGTTTCCAACAGGTTGCCTTTTAGGTTCTAGATCTTGCCTTTAGGTTGTCTTTAGGTTCTAGATCAAGCACGGGAATGTCCCTCCCTGGCCCCTTTCTGCAGGTCCACACGTCTTTACCTTCCTCCAGAGACCACTGCTGTGCCCAGTGTGGACCAGCCAAACCTCCTCACTCTACTGCTGTGCCCAGTGTGGACCAGCCAAACCTCCTCACTCTACACAAGGCAGGGCCGGTTCTCTGGCCATTTTATCGACAGTTTCTATTATACCTACCCATTGTTTCAAAGATATGCTCTAAGCGGTTATCAATACTAACGAGAGAGGCTAGTTTGCCTTGGTACCAGGTTCTAGGAAGAGGTGGGTAAACAGATCTCTGGGGAGAAGATGTGAAATGACAGCTGTTTGAAACTGCCTGTCTGCTGGTGCAGAGGTTTATGTGCACAATTTATAAGAAGACTTGCAGCAAGACCTTGACAAATATCAGTTTTGAAGACTTTCAGGTCATTTAACCACTCTGCTGACAACGCAAGTCTTTCTCCGGTGAATTTCATGCCTTCATTTTATGAAATTTTAGAACTTGAAGGGAAATTAGGAACTTGAGTCTAGCCAAATCCCTCATTCTACCTATGGCAGGGAGGGTTCTCTGGCCCTTTTGCTGACATAGCTTCTTTCCATTCCACCCCTGTCACATCAAAGTTATGTTTCAAGAGATTGTTGACGCGAAGAAGAGAGAGGCTAGTTTGTCTTAGAGGTACCAGGTTCCCACATTTTCCTTCAGTGAGCTGATAGGTCGTTTCAAATAGCTATCGGTTTATTACCTAGGAACGACAGTACTCATTTTGGTCGGATGAAAGTTCTTTCCCAACTCCCAAATAAGGGCAAAATCATCTACCTGTGAAATACTTCTGCAACACATGTAGCTATTATTGCCTTTTAAGATCTGTTAATTCAAAATATTAAAGAATGCTTCCAAATGTGTCTGTGCTTCAATCAGTGACACACGAAATGCACTTTCACTCGCTCACCCTCTCCCATACTGAGCATCTCTTCAGAGCCCAGCGCCGCCAACACCTGGAAATGCAATGCCGCAGGAGAACACCGTCCTTGCCCTTAAGAAACTTGGCCTAATGGAGGTGACAGGCATTGAATAACGAATTACAAGGTAGAACTCTACATCTCCAGAGAGAACTTACAGGGGGCTCAGAGAACGGGAAGCAGGGTTTCTGAAGGGATTGATGCATACACTGGAATCTGAAGGGTTTACAGGAGTTTGATGAAGGGTGGGGGTTGTTTCAGAAACTACCAAAAGAGTTTTCTAGGCAAGGGAATGATATAAGCAAAAGCAACGTGGCTCTGGTTTACTCGGGCAAGAGGGCACCTGATCGGCCGTGGGGGAAGCAGAGACAAGCTCACGAGGTCTTTGTAACAAGTCGAGGAGCCTGGGCTTGATTCAAAGAGCCCTAGGAAGCTGTTGAAGAGGTTTCAAATAAGAGTGGTCAGAGACAAAATCCCGTTTCAATTACCTCTTAAATAAATGGTTAAATTAGAAGAGCACTTCTGGATTACGGGAGCCCAAAGACAGTGCCAAATTATGAAGAGGTAGTTTTCTCTTAGACAATGTGAAATCTAAGAGGGCTTTTAAATAAGTATTTTTGCTTTCGAAACACTATAGGAGACTATTAACCTCATCAAACAGAAGCCCTTGACAACAGTCTTTTTATTCCAGATGAGCACAACTCAGGAATTATCTCTCTCTTAAGCTTATGATAGAAACAGTCATCCACATCAGAAAAGAAAAAAAGTACAAGGCAAAATCTCACTTCATAGTATCCCACATGAGAGCACAAATGTAGAAGTCTCAGCCACATAGCAGCACCATAGGACGATCTCAGAATTTCAGTGTTGGAAGGGATGTTAAAGACCATGTTGGTCCAACACCTTCACTTTGTAGACAGTATGCAGAGTATTTCTTTGCAAGGTCATCAGAAATAAGCAATGATTGAAGACTTGGGTTCTTTTTCGAAGATTTCAGTATGTCGCAGTGGTAACTGAATCCCTACAATAAATGAAAGGTCTAATGTCCTGACCCAAACACTTGATTCCCAACACAGTTCCTAAGCCTCCAGAATGGTTCCCAAAGAGCCCGCCTTTTAGCGCTCACATCCTTGTGTAGGCCCCCTCCTCCCACCTCCCACCAGACCCTGGGTTAGGTTCCCTCTTGAGCTCGTCCTTGGTCAGATCTCTCCCGCTGGGGGAAGTCGGCTTGCCATGTCACCAGCAGCTCTGTGGCCAGTCCTGTAAGACAAGGATCTGAGGCCTCCCGCCAACGGCCAGGGAGGAACTGGGGCCAGCCTGCCGGCCACGGGCCTGAACTTGGAGGCAGATGTGCCAGGCCCGGCTGAGCTGTGGCCGTAGCCCCAGCCGACAGTCTGGCAAGAAGCTTGTGAGAGACCCTGAAGCTTGTGAGCCAGATTCCTGACCCTCCGACACTGTGTGAAATAAACGTTTGTTGTTTTAAAGTCCTACATTTGGGGGTCATTTGTTAAGCAGTGAGAGATAACTAATAGACACCACACGGCATTATATATTCTTTAAACTTAATCTACACTGTCCTTGATATCTACATAGTAATTCTTTTCTAAGTATTAAAAAGAAACCTTCACTTAAAGATGCTATCAATGGTGTTCTTTAAAAAGACACGATTAAATGGTTTACAGAATAGGTAATAGGATATTTAGTAATTCATAAGGCACTAATTCTAATTTAATGTGCGTTCTTGGCAACCAGATATAGTTAAAATTTTGAAATTTGGTTGCAAGTAGTAATTGCTGCACGTTCCCATTTCAGTACAACTTTTTTCCCCTTAAAATCCCAGTAGATAAAAAATATGAATTTATATTTAAATCAAAACATTTTCTTCATATTTCTAAGTAACCTTAGTAGGATGTTGAGTAAGGGGGAAACAATCATCATCAGTTGATAATGATGGTAACATGTAAAATAATCACTTCTCTAATTAAATAAAACCTCCAAAGTTTTACCCTTGGAAGGAAAACCTCCAGGTAAGGAGGAAAAGCAGTTGATATAATCCTGACCTCACAGCCGGGCGTGGTGGCTCACGCCTGTAATCCTAGCACTTTGGGAGGCCGAGGCAGGAGGATTGCTTGAGGTCAGGAGTTTGAGACCAGCCTGAATAAGAGCAAGACCCCATTTCTACTAAAAAAAAAAAAAAAAAAAAGAAAGAAATTAGCTGGACAACTAAAAATATATATTAAAAAAATTAGCCGGGCATGGTGGCGCATGCCTGTAGTCCCAGCTACTCGGGAGGCTGAGGCAGGAGGATCACTTGAGCCCAGGAGTTTGAGGTTGCCGTGAGCTAGGCTGATGCCGCGGCACTATGGCTCAGGTGACAGAGTAAGACTGCATCTCAAAAAAAGTAATAATAATAATAACCCTGACATCTCTTCTAAATTTCCTCTGCCCTTCATGTTCTCAGTCCAATTATTCATTCAACACACTCCATCAAAAAATACTTATTGAACCCTTTCTCCACAGTATACACAGGGATACGGCAACAAATTAGACAGGCCGATCGGCTCCACCCTCATGCACCTTCTTATTTGGGAGCAAAAAAAAAAAAAAGAAATGAAGCAGTTACAATACAAAGGCGATTATTAGGGGAGGAGGAGAAGAGGGTGCAGAGGCAGCACCTAGTAGGATACCTGCCCCGATTCTGGTGGGGAGGGACTTGGCAGGGCAGGGTGGGGTGTGGGAGAGAGTCTAGAAAAAGCTTTTTGTAACTGACATTTAAATTTAATGTTAAGGTGTCAGGAGATATTTCCAGCAAAAAAAAAAGAACTCCCCGCGCAAAGGCCTGAAGGTAAGCGAGTCACATTAAGACGCTGGGCAGTTCAGCGTGGCTGCAGCACAGAGGGGACAGGCGTGCTGGCGTGCTGAGAGCCTCAGAGTGCAGCCCAAGAACGGGCTGACATGGGGAAGGATTTAAAACCAACACAAGGATTTAAAAACCAACACATCTTTACACCCTGACCTTTTGCATCCTACCTGAGAACACTTATTTATATTCCAGGCCCCTTAGGCTAGTCCGGTTTGACAACGATTATGTATGGGGCGGCAAGAGCTCTGGGGTCAGAAATACCTGCTTTGAACCTCAGCTTGGGAACAACAGTAACACCAACCTCAGGTCGTCTAGAGGTTAGATGGAATAGCATAGGTGAAACACCCTGCATACATCAGGTGTTTAAAAACCTCTTCCCTTCAGCTAGGTGAGGTGGCTCGCACCTGTAATCCTAACACTCTAGGAGGCCCAGGTGGGAGGATCCCTTGGGCTCAGAGGAGTTCAAGATCAGCCTGAGCAAGAGCGAGACCCCATCTCTACTAAAAATAGAAAAATTAGCCATGCATGGTAGTCCACACCAGTAGTCCCAGCTACTTGGGAGGCTGAGGCAGGAGGATCGCTTGAGCCCAGGAGTTTGAGGTTGCTGTGAGCAGCGATGACACCACTACACTCTAGCTGGGATAACAGACGGAGACTCTGTCTCAAAAACACACACACACACAAAAAAAACCCTCTCACTTACTTTCTTTCTGAGCCCCCAGCTGGCTCTGAGCAGAAGGGCACCATGTCACTGTCCACACGTGACCTCATAATTTGGCAGAGGACAATCCTTCTCTTGGCCACCCCCTATGTCCCTCCCATTCACTTCTAGTCTCCACCCTCTTTCTCAGATAACATTACCTTCCATTTGCACAATCCCTGTCATACAGCAATAACTGTAGCACTTATAAAACAAGAATTACCCCCGTATATAGCCGAGACTCGCCCCATCACACCATCTGTACTTTACATTTTCGTATGCACTTGACCTCACTTATTGCTTCTGATAACATTGTAAGGTTGAGTATCGTAATCTCTATTTGGCAGGTGAGAGCCTTAGGTTCGGGGAGGTTATATGATTTACCCTGACCTAGGCTTTGAACTTAGCTTCTCATTTTCTAAAGAGTTCTGTCAGCGCTACAAAGGCTGCCTCCAGTGAAGGTTACGATGGACATGTGTTTTAAGGTTGACTTGCGGTTTCTTTTTAGCATTGTTAGGACTAGAGAAGCATGGCCTTTTATAAGTGTATACCCATTCATCAATAAGCAGCTATATGCCCTTTCACACATATTTTAAGTTCTCTAGATGCAAAACTAAACGGGGGTGGTGGCGGTAGGATGTTCTCATAGGGATGACTGCCGAAGAACTCCTCCCATGACTTCGGCGGTAAGTACCACTTTCCGTTTGCCTCCTTGCCCAGCTATGCTCATAATAGTAAAAATAAAGCTTCCTAGTGCCTTCATAATAATAAAAAAAAAACCTGCCTTCTCTAACTGTGAAAATAAGAGCACAAATGAAAGGTTTAATTATTCAAGTAGACCTTAGCTGCTTATTTAAAATGGAGTTATTTATTCCCTCATGCGATCAGAATAAGATGGCGTGTAGGTCACCTGTTCCGAGCCTAGTATTTACCTAGGGTGCTGTCTCCTTTGCACGGGCGTTAGCCTCACTTCCACAGCTCAAGTTCAGTCCACAAATGGAGCCTATTCTGCCTTCCAAAGTCTTTCCCAACCCCCCACCTTCCGTCTCCTAAGGTGATGCACAGATTACCTGTATCAAAATTACCTGGCTACTTATTAACGGGAGATTCCTGGGCCCCCATATTGACCTGAATCATCACCAGTGAATGGGGCAGTAGCTTTTTAGCATCACATGACCCACCAGATTCATGCTTTGTCAATTGCATGTTCTGTCTTTTACACCAAAGAGAAAAACAAATGGTTTCCGGTGAGGTCCTTCCTTATCTCATAGTTAAAACAACTGGTTTTTAACCTAAGTGGCTGATAAAAATGCGAAGTCAAACAGTGATTTCGGTTTGACACCTGAGACCCTCTCTTCCAAGCATTCCATATAGTGGGCTTTCACACAGTACTGTGTACAACTATTCAGCCAACCAAGAATACTCTTAATCAGAAGCTGTTCTACGTTGCTGGAACCATGTTGTTCACAGGGGTAGCACTTCAAATATTCGGCAGAAATTCTGAAATTATGGCCTCTATGGACTCCCCCAATATACTAGCTATTGTAACCCAAACGATGAAGTACATGATGTTAGTTTGGTACAATTCTTTATCTTGATGATTCAAATTCTGTTTCATTCTAAAATGTTAAACAGTTGGGTTTTACTTGTTTTAAAGCAAAAAAAAAATTGCATATATGAGAAAATATTAGGAAAAAGAATCAACTTTCACCATCATAAAACTTAGGATGAAATCTTAAAACATGATGTTCACCTTAAATTAGGCAGCCTGGGGCATGGCACGCTGATAATGTAATTACATAATTACGCACACTCCGCGACATAAAGGGACTGACATCTTCATTGGGAGACGTGGGCACAAAAGTTATCTCCTTAGGGTGGGGTATTTGGCTTAAAGTCCACATCTGCCAATATCCTTTCCTGTATAATTTGAGCAACACAGGCTGGAAAGGCGTTTGAGAAGCAAATCAGGTGGCAAAAGTCAGGTCTGAGGGAGGCAAGGAGGACGGAATACTGTTTTAGAAACCCGAAATCCTTGGTCCTCCGAATAGAAACTTATCAACCCGGGAACAAGGCTGGTACTGCTCATTAGCGTAAGACAGAGACTGGCTTTCCGCTCTGCAGCTCGAGAGGAGAACACCGGCTTTGCAGGTGAGCGCCTCCGGCTCGGTGCTATTTGCACATCCACCGGCTCGGTGCTATTTGCACATCCACCGGCTCGGTGCTGTTTGCACATCTCACCTGGGCCTTCCGGTCACAGACGCACCACCTTAAGGAGCCGAGTGAGAAAGCGAGAACAATCAATAAAAAAAAAAGAAATGCTGCCAGCTATAAATCAGCCACGTGGAGCTGCAGCTGCCGCAGCCGCAGCCCCAACTTCCTGGTGTGCCTCCTGCAGGCGGCTGGGGCTCCGGGCGCAGGGAGGGGTGTGGGGGCCGCCGCGCCCGGTCCGCAGGGCCGGGGGTCTGCAGGGCACGGGCGCTGAGCGCGGAGTCGTGGTCTGCAAGCACAATAAAAGTTTGGGCGTCTGGAGGCTCGGAGGCGCCGGCTGCGGGGCGGAGGCTGAGGCCAGACGCGGGCGAGCGGGCGCGAGGGGCCGGGGGCGGGCTCGGAGGACCGGGCCGCGCGGGCCGGCCGGGCGCCGCGGAGGCCGCGCAGGGGCGGGGCGGGGAGGGGCCGCGCCGGGGAGGTCCGGCCGAGGGGAGTTCCGGAGCCGGCGCGGGGAAGGGCGGGCGCGGAGAGGGCGGGCGGGAGGAGGAGGAGGGAGCCGGGAGGGAAGGGGAGCGCCGCGGCGGCGGCTGCGCCGGGCTGTGTCTCTCGCCGCCGGAGGAAGATGAGGCTGAAGATCGGGTTCATCCTACGCAGCCTGCTGGTGGTGGGGAGCTTCCTGGGGCTCGTGGTCCTCTGGTCGTCGCTGTCCCCGCGGCCGGACGGCCCCAGCCCGCTCAGCAGGATGAGGGTGAGTGACCCGCCCGGCCCCTCCGGCGGCTGGACCCGCAACTTGCTCTGCCGGCGCGCGCGGCGGGAGCGGGGCTGCGGGGCCGGGCTCCGCAGGGTCGGGCGGCGCGCGAGGGGCGCGAGCCCCGCCTGCGGTCCCGCCGGCCCGCGCGCGCTCCTCCCGCTCTCCCCCGGCGACACGGCGCTTCGCCCGGCGCGCCTTCGCCGGGAGCGGGCGGAGGGCCGGGCCGGAGCGCGGCCGCGCGGCCGCGGCACGCGGGGACCGCCGCCCGGGCGGGGCCGCGCGTGGTCCAGCTGCGGCCTGCTGGGCCGCGCCAGAAGGGCGGACTCGGCCGCGCGCGGGGTCGAGCGGCCGGCTGGGATCACCAGCCGTGCTCCGCCGCCGCCCGATTCCCGGGGCGTTCGCGCGGGGCCCCCCAAAAGCCCGCCCGCCCGGGATGGGAGGCGACGGCGCCCGCCTCCAGCCCGAGCGGCGACGCCGCGTCCGCCGCCGGGACCCGGGGACGCGGCGGGCGCGGGGCGGACGAGGCACTCGCGCGGGCCTGCCCGCCTCCCCGCTCCGCGGGCGCGGCCGTTGGCGGCGGAGGGCGAGAGTCCGCGGCCGCTCGTGCGCCCGGCGCGCCCGCCGAGCCCCGTGCCGCCGACCCTCGCGGCCGGCGCCGGCGCGATCGGGGGTCGGGACGCGGCTCCTCCTGCCGGGCTGCGGCGGGGCTGCTCGGGCCGGAAAACTAACTTGAGCCGGCGCCCGGCCGCCCGCGTCCGTCTGCCGCCCGCGGCGCGCGTGCGGGCGCCGACAGCCGGCTGGGGGGTGAGTCGGGCGCCTCGGGGCGCCAGTTACCGCGCCCCGCGCGCAGCCCGGCGGGGCCCGGCCACCCGGCAGTTGGCCGCACGCACCCTCCTCGCCCGCCTCACCTGCTCCCCGGACGGCCGGCGCTCCCGCTCCGCCCTCGCCTGGGGCCCGGGATGCCCAGGGATGCCCGGGCAAGGAGGGCGCGAGGCCCGGGACCGCGCGGCGGCGGGCGGCGGGGAGGCGGCGCGGTCTGCCGCAGGGTGCCTCCCTGCGAACACAGGATCCGCGCTGCGTCTACGCAGCCTTCCCTGTTAACTTTCCCTGGCAAAGTTCGCTTCAGGAAGTTGGGGGGACAGGCTTGTGGCGTCTTCTCTGGAGAATCTCAGGAGGAGATTTTTTTATTTTTTTAAATCGGCTGTTGCCTATGGATCACGAGATTAGATTTAATCTGCATATTTTCATATTTGGAGTCCTCACTGCAGTGGAATCCCTTTCTGATATCTGGGTTGGGTTCCCATCGAAGTCACCTACATTGACGAAAATAAAAAGTGTCAGATTTTTCCCTTTCAGCTCCAGTGCGGTGGTGGGGACCCCTTTTTTCTTATGATTTTGCTTGTAAAATGATTTACTGACAAAGAGTAACTTGAGTATTGCAGTTGTCCGAGAATATTTGTTTTAGGTCATCAAATGCCCTTTCACGCAGAGCTGGAGTGTTAACCCGCCCATTTTCTGGTAGAGAAATTGAGGAAAAAACTGACAAAGCCAGTCAGGGTCAGAACGTCCTGCGGCTCACGTGGTGAGGCTTTTCAAGAGATGGTGGAACATCATCGTCACTTTCCAACTCTTGGGACATTTTATTAGTGCAGATACAGGGTGAGCCCTACTGTCCGCTTAATAACTCTAGGGTGAGGGTGCGGAAGGTGGCGATGGCTTGATTTTGGGTCCAATGTATTGGACAAAGCTTGTCAGTGGAGCTAGCGTACTTTCTACTACTTGTCAAAGACAGAAGCTAGGTTGTAAAGACTTCCCAACTTACTTAACATTAAAAAGAACGTTTGGGTATCAGGAGAGCAAGACCTTTCTATTGGCTTCCCAGGCAAATAGTAAAATCTAAGCAAGTTAAGGTTTAGTTTATGAGTAATAAGAGTGGAAAGAGGAGACTGTTGCCTCGCCTTAATAGAAACTAGCCTGAGAACTTTCGAGATATGGCACTGGAAGAACATCTTCTTTAGGGAGGGTTCTGATAAGGTGCTCAGATTCTGACTGCTGAGTTTCTCCTCCCCTTTGGGGTTCTTTTTTGCTTTTGAGACCCGTTTTGCTCTGTCGCCCAGGTTGGCGAAGGGTGGTACAATCATAGCTCACTGTAACCTTGAACTCCTGGGCTCAAATGATCATGTTTCCTCAGCCTTCCGAGCACCTGGCTGGTTTTTATTATCTGTTTAGAGATGGAGCCTTCCTATGTTGCCCAGGCTGGTCTCCAAGTCCTGGCTTCAGGCCATCCTTCTGCGTCAGCCACCCTGGTAGGGTTCTTCTGCTTTGATTATGGTTGCAGACGCTTCCGCCGGTTCATTGTGAGGGCCCTGCTTCCCTTTAAAGCTCATCCACACGTGGACTTTTGGGGATCCTTTTAAATGGCTTGAGACGATGGGCTAGAACAATCCAGTTTACCAAATACGGGTTCTGCCTCTGTTCCAGCAAGCTTATGCTTATGGCTCTGTCCACCTTCGCGTTGTCTTATCCATGTCGCAGACACTAAAGTCTGTTACAACCTGGTCCTTCCTTACCTGGACTATTTCCTTGCTTCAGATCTGCCCACCTTTGGAGTCAAGACAGGAGAAACATGTTTCTTACCTCCTCCTTGTCTCTGGGCCTCTTGCCCTTTCTCTGAGGTGGGTGATGTGAAAAATCACCTTATTCCAATCATTCTGTTGTAGAATTTTTTTTTTTTTATTGATTTGCTCAAACATTTCTGAGTGCCTACAATGTGCCAGGCACGGACACTGTAGGTTGTTAAGGAAGCACTCTGTGCTCTTGACCTCATGGATCTTGCAGTCTAGTGTGAAAAACACAATCAAGCCTCCATAAGAGAGAGAGAATGATGCTATGAAGGTAAGTATGGGACTTATAGGCCCTGCTAAGGGGTTAGGTCTTAAGAACAGTGAGGAGCCATTGAAGGATTTTATTTTATTTATTTATTTATTTATTTTTTATTTTTTGAGACAGAGTCTCACTGTGTTGCCCAGGCTACAGTGAGTGCCGTGGCGTCAGCCTAGCTCACAGCAACCTCAAACTCCTGGGCTCAAGCGATCCTCCTGCCTCAGCCTCCCGAGTAGCTGGGACTACAGGCATGCACCACCATGCCTGGCTAATTTTTTTCTATGTATATTTTTAGTTGGCCAATTAATTTCTTTCTATTTTTTAGTGGAGACGGGGTCTCGCTCTTGCTCAGGCTGGTTTCAAACTCCTGACCTTGAGCGATCCACCGGCCTCAGCCTCCCAGAGTGCTAGGATTACCGGCGTGATCCGCTTGCCCGGCCTGTTGAAGGATATTAAGTAGGAGAGAGACATGATCAGATTTAGGTTTTGAAAAGATTGCTCTGGTTGCTTGCAGGAAGTATGCATTTGTCTGTAGAGCAGATAGGAGGAGTCCTGTTGGCAGTTACAATAAATAGTTCAGGTGGGACATGGCATTATCTGCCAACCCTTGGGGTGGCAGGGTCGTAGTTGAGAAGGGGAAACATAAATTGATTCAGGAGCTATAAAGGATGGAAAGGCACCAAGATTTAGTGATTGGATGAGGTAGTGAAGGTGTCAGGAGGCTGAGGATGATAGCAGTTGCATGAACATAGCTCACAACAGCCTCAAATTCCCAGGCTCAAGCCATCCTCCTGCCTCAGCCTCTCGAGTAGCTGGGACTGTAAGCACACACAACCATGCCCAGCTAATTTTCATACACATTCTGTTTTTTTTTTTTTTTTTTTGAGACAGAGTCTTGCTCCGTTGCCCAGGCTAGAGTGAGTGCCGTGGCGTCAGCCTAGCTCACAGCAACCTCAATCTCCTGGGCTCAAGCGATCCTTCTGCCTCAGCCTCCTAAGTAGCTGGGACTTACAGGCATGTGCCACCTGCCTGGCTAATTTTTTCTATATATATTAGTTGGCCAATTAATTTCTTTCTATTTATAGTAGAGATGGGGTCTCGCTCTTGCTTAGGCTGGTTTCAAACTCCTGACCTCTAGCTATCCGCCCGCCTCGGCCTCCCAGAGTGCTAGGATTACAGATGTCACTGCGCCCAGCCTCATACACATTTTCATATTGTATTTTTTTTGGTTATGGGAAGGCTCTTTTTGCCTTTGTCACCTGGATATTTTAAGGTCAGCATTTATTAAGACTATCTGTTTAATCTTACAAAGTGCAAAAGTTCCTTTAATTAAATAAATTGTAGCAATAGTATGTTTCATACAGACACCATTTATTCCAGGTTTTAGCCCTGAGTATTTCAAGTTGAATCATAAACCTCTGAAAATAAAAGTCTATGATGGAAATGTTGACAGATCTTTGGCTTTCGTGGTTCTGTTTAGACACCCAGTACTGGTGAGAAACGGTGTAAAGTGATGGTTCTCTGTATGTGCACATGCTACTTTAGTCTAACCATTAGTGCCACTTAGCTTAGAGCACATATAGTCGGAACTAATTCGGGAACTATCCTAGGCCAGCAGGTTTTATGTGATAAGCAAACTGACAGGTTTGAAAGGAATCTAGCTTAAAGGAGGACTGGCTGGATCGCTCACTATGTGTATAGTCACGTTGCACCTTACCAAAGCCATCGTATCTCAGTGATGGTCTGTTGTAACCTGAAAATTCTGCCCTTGACCATAAGGTTTTATTTCAAATGGAAGCTCCATTTATGCTATTAGGGATGGAGCTATCACTTAGTGAAAACATGGTGCCTTAAGTGGTCACCATTCTCTTTCCCAGGCTACAGGCCTGGGGATTGGTTTTTGTTTTCTTAGCTGTTCCCCATCTCCCACCCTCCCCCACCCTACACACACAATACAAACAAAACAAAACAAAAAAATCCAACATCATCAAATCTAAGAGATTTGGGTTTGTAGACCTCTTGAAATTAATGCACACTTTTATGTACATGTGCATTGTTTTCTAGGTTGAGAATCAGAAGCTTTCACATTTCCTAAATTTTCCTGTAAACCAAACAAGGCCTCAAACCACTGACGCTGAGGTCTTTGGAGGTAGGGTTCATGTTTCCTGCTCATTGAGTATCCCCCCCTTCTCTCCTGGTACTGAATTTACGGAAGGCGCGTATTAAATTTTTGTCAAGTAAAATAAGGTACGTCCATTCATGTCTCCCCCATAGGTCTGTTCACTCTGGAAATGTTTAATTCTGAGGAATTACTGTATTTGTCAGTTCCATGGCAGTGCTTCCCATCTGGTGGCCTTAATCCAGTGATAATATAAGAAGATAATGAGAACTATCATGAGGATATGTTTTGTTAATAATCAAACTAGTAGGTGGAGAAGGTTTCTGATATAGCCTTTTGGGGAGTACACATTATTAGTAAAGAGAGAGTGAAAACTGCTAAATAGCAGTGGAAATTGGATCACTACTTTGTGACTTAGGCAGGCAGCACAGAATGGGAGAGATGATGAATGATACATCTTATACAGAAATTTGGATTTCTGTATAACCTGCATTAGATTAGCCAATAGCAAACTGGAGAAAGAGGGAGAGAGAAAATAATGCATCATGAATGAAAAGTAAAATTCTGAGCTCGAGCCATTTGTAAACAGAGTGTTTGTAAATTCTGACTTCAGCATTTATAGAAAAAAAGAGTTGGTCAGCAAGATTTGAGTAGCTATTGAATGCAGGAAAATGATTGTGATTATTCAAATTTAAACTAGATAATTGTTCATATTTTGAATTCCTACTCTCATTCTTGAAGAACGAACGTACAATTCGATAAGTAGCTAAATTAAGGTTTTCAAATTTCTAGAATACAGTACAGAAGGATATGAAAGGAATGGTTTTATAGTTATTTTGTATAAGGTAGAAGAGGGGCAGGGGTGAGAAGGTGGAATATATATTAATAATGTGGACAGAATTCTTTGTAGGAATTGGGAGATATATTTATAAGCATGACACTCAATCACTGAACAGACATTTCAAGCATTTTTGTGTTTACCAAGTGCCATCAATGGCTGTAGGCATTGGAGATAGCGTATGTGCAGGGGGTCTAAAGTTTTGACATAGTAAAGATGTTACTCAGGTCTTGACCTAAATAGGTAGTAGCTGCTGTGTCCATAACAGTGGTAATTTTCTCTTGATATATCCTCTGTTTGATACATCAGGTCAGGCCTTTTTCTAACAACTCCCTACCCCCAACCTTCCATTTGCTCAAAATAATAGCCCGTTTGCACTGGGCTGGGCACTGGGAATGGAAAGAGGTGCAAAAGCGTGGACTCTGATCTCTTGAGTGATTAAGCTGTGTGAACATGCAACAGCCACGGAAAGGGGGTTCTCACTGAGCTGTCAGAGGTCGGTGGTCGGAGGGAAAAGAGCAGAGCCTGGCGTTTGGCTGGAGCTGGTATGTCAGTGGGAGTTGGCCATGTAGAGATGCAGGGAGGAACATTCTAGACTACGGGAATGTGGCGAGACCCGAAGGAAGTCCAGTTTTACTGGTGAAAAGTGGTGGAATTTAAGATTGGAAAAGTAAGTTTGGGCCACAGGGAATTAAATGGTAGGTTAAGGAATTGGATTGGAGTTTTATTAATTCAGTGGTTAGAGAAGCGTTTTGGAGGCTTTGAAGTGGGATTGAGGGGTTGGTGACGTTCATTTACGTAACTCTTGAGTCAGTCATCATTCAACAAATACTCAAATATTTATGGAGCGTCTTCTAAGTGCCCGCCATTGCTTTAGGCATCCGGGATGCCACGGAGTGGTAAACAATAACAACTGCAATAGCTCGCATGTATCGGATGCTTCCTCTGGGTCAGGTGAGTACTCTCTGGGTGTTACGTTGCTGAATTGTAACAACAACCCTCTAACGATCACAAGTCTAATCTAATCCCCACTCTGTAGATGAGGCCACTGCGGTGCAGAGACGGGAGCTCTTTGTCCAAGGTACTTCACTTAGTAAGTGGGCAGGATTCAGTCTCCGGTGCCCTAACTTCACAGCTGTGCTCTCTCACCGTACACTAAAGTTTTAACAACACAGACAAGTTCATGTGAACTACATCGAAAGATGGATATGTAGACACCAGCAGTATAGCATCAGAGAAACACTGAAGACAATGTAGATGGTCCCTGACTTAGGATGGTTCAACTTAGAATTTTTTGGTTTAGGATGGGTTTATCAGGAGTCAAAGAGCATCTCAACTTAAGATGGTACAACTTACATTTTTGAGCTTTTAGGATGGGTTTGTCTGTATGTAATCTTGTTATACGTTGAGGAGCAGCTGTACAGGATAGTATGAGAGAGAATGGGAAGGTCAGTGAAGGTGGATGAGTATAAGGTCAGTGAAGGTGAGTGAGTCATGCAAATCTAAGGGAAGAGCATGCCAGGCAGAAGGAACAGGAAGTGCAAAATCCCTGAGATTGGAATGAGGCTGGAGTGTTTGAGAAACAGAAGACCAGTATGGCATGTTCAGTTTGCAGGGAATACAGTGCTTGATGAACTCAAAGATGTAGTCAGGACTTAGATAATGGGGGTCTTGTGGTCTGTTATTAGGGTGATTATTTGTTTTAGTTTACATTCATTACCCTTTTACTTTCAAAAGTGTTCTGGATTGGATGTTAAATTATACGGTCATCTTACTAATACGCATGGTCCTAGATAAGCGAAATGACTAATAACCTTTTTCGGCCCCAGGTTTGTGGGCCAGACACACAGATAAACGAGTGCAGTGGGTGAGACAAGAACTGCATTTTAAGTCCACCAGGTCCTGTGGGATCACAGAGTGGCATCCGGCCTACGGAGTCGGGTGCTGTCAAAGAGTTTGTCTTAGAAAAGGACGTGTTGGAGAGGGGAAGACGTGAGGACAGAGAAAACTGCGGAAGCATGAAAGACTGTGGCCAGTCCTGGGGCCTACATGGCTGGAAGGTTGGGTTGGAAAGGGGAGGAATGGAAGAGAGGACCCCAAGGGTACAATCTGAGCCATGAAAAACTTTGAATGATGTGAGAAGTTAGAGCTAGGCTAAAAGGAATAATGTGGAAACAGAGTGCAGGCTAGAATTCAGTGAGGAGAGAATTGTCTCTGTAGGATATAATGAGACCTAAACTAGGAGAGGGACGTAGAAACTGAATACAGAGGAGGAGAGAGTACAGAAGTAAGTTGCCCAGTGGGAGGAGGACTCATGCCTGTTGGAAGGGGTAGGGAACATCACTGCCTCAGGCAGTGAGTGGTCCTCAAACTTTAGCAGGCATCGGAATCACTAGAGAGTGTGTTAAAACATAGATTAAAAAAAATTCGGTTTGGGCATATAGCATTTTGTAGACCACAGGTAAGTCAAACGAATGTGTCTAACAGGTAGGTGCAGGTCGGGATAGAAATCAGAAATGGATGCAGAGAGTGCAGGTCACTGGCAGGAGCATGCTGTCTGCAGCCCAGGGAGCAGATTGGTGTATTGAGGGAGCATGTGTGGATGAGGAGGAAAATGTGGGTAGAAACAACCATGGAAAATACCTTCTTTAAGGCACCAGGAGCGGGAGAGACGAATTAATGCATAGGCATAAGAAGTAAAATGATTTAGAGAATGTTGACCTATAGAAAACAGGGAGGAAAATAATTTAAGGGAAGGACCATCAAAAAGTATTTGAGAAAGAACTGATTAGAATGCAGGATGGAGCAAGTGACTGCTCGGGTGTCGCCTGTGTGCTGAACTGACCAGGGGTACTTTGGTCGAGGGAGGGACTGCAGTAGAGTCTGCATCGGCGTCCCGGTTAATATTATGGCCCAGAAAAACTGGCTCCTCTGGTAAAGAAGTTCAGGCGGTGAACAGTTATCTTCGCTCTGTGAAAAATACAAATAGAAGAGAAAGAGTTTTATTAGAGAACTGTAACTATCAAAGAGGAACTTAACCATTTTTGGTTATATTTGTGCTACCACAATTAGGTACCTCTCCCCCTCCCCTCCCCTCCCCACCACTGCTGTGCGTGAGACACACGTGCATGTCTGTTTCCAATCGAACTGTAATTGTGTGGCTGTGATAGCATGTGACACTGTATATGCCAGATACTGTAATATGTTTATAACGTATATCGGGCATTTTTGTGCACTTTGGCCTGAAGTCCAGTGATTTGTAAAGCTGCAGATGGAGAAACAGCTTAATATTTGAAGTTGGAAAAGAAATTTTTATCCTGAGAATATCAGGCAATTTTTAGTTTTTGACACATTCATTTGGCTGATGCATATTTAAAGGAAAAACGGAATAGCAAAACTGTGCTCTCAGCATTTCAGTTATCTTAGTTTTTGCAAACGAGGTTCACCATTTAATTCCGGTTCAGCCCTTGAGGTCCCGAAGGTAACACTGGCGCAGCTTGAGCTCAGGGCTGGAGTCTCTCTGGAGAGGAAGAACTGACTTTCAGTTGCTTTGTCTGCTAAGACTCCTTAATATTTCAGGATGAGAAATGTCCTCATTTCTGCGCCATTGTGAACCCCCTTCCGGGCTCCCCGGCCTGCCCAGCATTTCCCGGGGTTGCTCCCCAGAAGCGTCCAAACGTGCTGATAGGGAGACCTGATCCAGTCCGCCGAATGCAAGAACTGGCACACTGAAACTTGAGGGAAAAAATTAACTCTACATTATCTAATTAGGTTCATAGAATTGCTGCGGAGCAGCCTGGTTTCCCAAATCTAGAAGGTACAATTAACTGCAGTATTACATCAATACCAACTAGTCTGCTAATAGGCTTCTAAGCAGAGCAATTGGAATTTGTTATTACCAAGAAAATTTTAAGCTGGATGAATTAAAATTAAGTCACACACTATTGGGAGCCATTCTGTATGAGAATAAAATAGATGACCTAATCGTTCTTTTTCATCTTTAATTTTTATTGAGTCCCAGGGTTTAGGAAGACATTTGGGCCTCAAGAGGCATGCTGCTCTCTTCAATAGTCTGCTTACATGCTTAATGATCATCTGGCTTAAGGGTGATTTGGCATTTGTAGTTCTAAACTTTATGAAATTATTTTATGTGCTTTAGTGCTTAAGTATTGAGTTACTTACTGTGAAAATTATGTATTCACTGTTCGTGTGTACGTTATTTAAAAAAAGTTAGTATTAAAGAATATGTCTTAAATAGACATTAACTAAGAAACTCCCCCCAAATTTTGGGGGTGAGGATCCCTTTTAAGAGAATGTGGGTATATCTGCATTTCTATTTATCAAACTGTTTGTAATTTTCCTTTGACTTCTGATTTTCCTTTTAATAAATACACCAAAGGAAAAAAGCCCGATGAGACACTCTCTTCAACGTGAGCAAGGTTTGCAAGTGGCCCTTCACAACTATGCAAATGCCTAACTCCTCCTCCAGCTGGAACCCTGGATTCAAAACCAACCCGTTGAAACAGTAAGGTGCGATTGTACATTGCAAAAGTGAAGTCCCTGTGTCTCAACGCTTGAAGGGCTCTAGAGGTTCTTGTCAGCATGTACTTATTGCACCTTTACATTTTTTATCATTTTTACTAACATCTATTATTCCAAAAATAGTTCCCTTGTAGCCCTAATGTAAAACAAAACTGTGAATATACTTAAGTGAATAATGCAAGTGTCATTTTGCCAGGATATATCAAAGATACGTGGGTAAAGATGTTCAAGTATAGAAAATGGGAAAGGAGGAGTGTGGTAGGGAGATTCCCATTCTATTTAGATTTATAATTTACAGTAATTGCATAAACATTTCAGAAATGACTCAGGAACAACCTAGTGAGGTTAAATCAATTAAGATATTTTATTTGCTTGATTATTTAATGCTATTATGAAAAATATGTATTTGTGAGGGAAATTAGTTGCCTAGAAAAATTTGCCATGGGCTATATTGTCCTATGTACTGGAGTTCTTTGTCAGTAACAGCCCTGTACATACGAACTCAAAGGTATGCTTTGCATACCCATTTCAAAACTTGTCTTAGGCGTTTTCTAAAATATCTGTTTTATTAGGTATAGCGTGTTTTTTTTTTAATTTATTTATTTTTTATGTCTTGCTTAGTTCGAAGAAACAGGTATAGGTTTTAATTATGCTCACTTGCGATGACTTAGTTCTTACCCTTCCCCTGCAAATTTTGCTTGTGGCAATTTAGCATTTTGCCATGCAGCTCTTATTAGACAATTTGATCATTATGTTTCTTAAAATTTAAGCTAACAGATTTCGTCTTTTAACCTTTAATATGGCAACGTGTGCCACATAAGTCTCAGTATTTGTTACTCGTACAATCTGTTTGCAGGGTTTTACATCTTCCTTTTGAAAGAAAGTGTTTAAAACCCCTTCTTCAAGGGTCTGGTAATTCTTGCCAGAATGATTTAAAATGAATAAAAAAATCTATTAGATTTTTGGCAAATAAGCTCTCAATTATAGTACAGAATAAATGACTACAAAGTGCTTTTTAGAGTAATGGAACAGAAATAACTGAAATCTTATTACTTTATACATGCATACTTTTCTACTGTGGTAGATGTTTAGTTTTTAAACTAAAAGATCATTGTCAAGATTGGAAACTCTGATCACTTAGAATATATAATTATATTTTCACATTGCTAGACTGAGGAAATGCAGGCGTGCAGTTTCATTAACTTGCTCCTGTGTAATGGCCTCAGAGGAAAATCTAAGTTCAGTATCTGTCAAAGAAGGCTGGAGGAGAAAGTGTCCATTTTGGAGAGCAATTAAGTTTGCTCTCAGTCCAGGGAGATCATGGTAGTGAAGAAGGAAAAAAAAATACTTTTAGCAAACAATTCTCTAAAAGTCCCTCTGTTCCAAAAATGTACTAGCAGAGGATGATTTCCAAACACCTTAATGTTTTAAAGACTTTCATTCTCTGTACGAAACTAGGATAACTCTTACTTCTCGTAGCTCACATTTAGACTCCAAATCACGGCACATACAACCCTCGAGTTTTAAAATAAATGTAGGGTATGGGAAAGCACATTTGCTAACTCTGAAAACTTTACAGAGTGGGGTCGACCTGCAGACATGAACCAGCCTACAGCACCCTTCCTTCTCCCAGGCCCTGCTGCGTCCTCGGCTCGCGACAGGCGCTGCGGGCCGTCTGTCTGTCCAGACGCAGGTGCGCTGCCTAGTCGCTCTCAGGCCCTTTCTCACAGTGTCCTGTTTGAAAATCTGAGGGAGGTTTTAGTGAATGTGACTCCTTTCGCTTTCCACTAACGACTGCTGCAGGGAGCGCACCAGCCCGCCCTCTCACTAGCCCGGGCCTCTGGCTGCAGCCCTGCAGGCAGATCCCGTCCGGAGCCCGGAGCCCGCAGTGGGGCAGTCACGTTTCTTAAGAGGCAGTTACCATCTTTGACCTGAGGGAAAAGTAAACGTTAAAATCTCTGTTGCACTTTGGCAAAGATCCCTCCCTAAATTTAAAGGAAATGGCTTGAGATGTCCGTTCCTGATTTGCATCTGCCTCTTCAGCTTTAGTGACAGAGACTTGTGTTTAAAAGTAAACGCCTCTGGCCGGGCGCGGTGGCTCACGCCTGTAATCCTAGCACTCTGGGAGGCCGAGGTGGGTGGATTGCTCAAGGTCAGGAGTTCGAAACCAGCCTGAGCGAGACCCCGTCTCTACCATAAAAATAGAAAGAAATTAATTGGCCAATAATATATATATATATAAATCAAGCCGGCATGGTGGCTTGTGCCTGTAGTCCCAGCTACTTGGGAGGCTGAGGCAGGAGGATGGCTTGAGCCCAGGAGTTTGAGGTTGCTGTGAGCTAGGCTGACGCCACGGCACTCACTCTAGCCTAGGCAAGAAAGCTAGACTCTGTCTCAAAAAAAAAAAAAAAAAGTAAACGCCTCTTATGTAATGATTTAAGATTTAAAAGGGCTGATAAAAGGCAGAAAGAGTAAAAGGAAGTTGTTGTTGTGACAACTAAGGAATAGGTGATTTTTCAAAATACAGAAAATCAGAAAAAGTAATACATCTTCAGTGTTTTTGTCGGCTAGTGAATTGAGATACTTTTCTTACCATTCCTTAATTCTTTGTGAAAATAACTACAGTATGTTTAACTGTTTTCTTCTCCCTTGGGAAAGAGGATTCCTTTTTCTGATCATGAGGCCTGGCATTTGTTGAGTGGTTTGGTTGGTTGGTTGGTCGGTCAGTTTCTTTGGGTCCCAGGGAATGCTTAAATGTGAGAATGGCTCCTTTAAGATTAAAAATGTCAGTTGTTTGGGAGGCTGAGGCAGGAGGATCACTTGAGCCCAGGAGTGGGAGGTTGCAGTGAGCTATGATGATGCCACTGCACTCTAGCCTTGGCAAGAGAGCAAGACTGTCTTAAAAAAAAAAAAAGAAAAAAGTTGTATATTTTATCGACTACAAGGTAGCTAGGAAAACCAAGCTTGCCATTTGGGCACACAGCGTGTTGCCTCTGCACGATGAGGCTAGCAGGTTACTCATAATTCTCATACGGACACAACACAGAAGCTGCTTTTTCTGAAAATACTGATTCTTTTTAATTAACCGAACCTTATAACTCTTGTGTTGAGCCAGTGCTAATGAGGAAATAAAATTTCATTTCTAAAATTAGAGATAATGAACCTTTAAAAAAAACTGATGCTCTGAGTAATCTCTGTGCACCCCCTCCCCTCCACTCCACTCTCACGCCTGATTTTTTTTTTTTTTTAAAGCTGCTTTAAGAGGCTGTTGCATTCTGTGGAATGCCACAGATCTTGAGAGGGATGAATAATGAAAGTTAAAGACCGAGTGATTGACGAGGAATGGGGGAAAGATGAGCGATTTGGTTTTCTGGCATAAGACTCCTTTCTGTCAGAGGACTGCAGATTTTCCTGGGTTGTCATGGACTTAATTTAAAACTGCCTCATATATGCAGTGATGAAAATCAAATTTAAATTACTAAGTGGAACATCTTCTCGATAATGTTTTGAAAAAACTGATTTAGAACAGTGGTGTTGATACTTTGAATCATTAATATTCTGCAATTTTAACGCTGATGTTTCAATCTACTTCTCTCCATTCCCGCTACCGGGCCTCCTATCACAGTTTTAGCCAGGAACTGTTTTCAAGTGGTAAAAAATGATCAGAAAATGTAGAGTGCCTTATTAAGTGAAGTTTCTGTTTTATTTGTAGTGCTTTACATTTAGCTATAAATTCGATTTACTTGTTTCATAGATCCATGGGCCAGTACTAACATTAAAGTGTCCTTATTTAGGATTTCACATGCGGACGTTTGAAAACACTGGTAACAGATGACTGACACTCCAAAGTGAAAGAACAGAAACCACCACACTTTAACTGTTTTGTGGTGAAGCAAATGCATGGGAAATTGGCTGTTTCAGTTTGTTTGTTGTTTGTCGGAATTTCCGCCTCATTCAGAGGAAGACTTAGATTGGTTGCATTCCCTTCCCCACTCTGTGAAGTGTGTGGCAGTGTACACAACACTCGTTAAATGTGCGTAAAGAGCGAATGGTGCACTAAGTGGCACCTGGGACTTGAAAGGGCAATGTCTCTTAGATGCTTAACTTACCACTGGAATGAAGAAGATTAATCTAAAGATTAAGAAGATTAAGAAAAGGTGGACTTTTTGATAAAGGCCATTCTCACTGGAGATAAGTGATCTCTCATTGTGGTTTTCATTTGCATTTCCCTGATGATTAGAGATGTTGAGCATTTTTTCATATGTTTGTTGGCCATTATCCTGTCTTCTTTTGAAAAGTTTCTGTTCATGTCCTTTGCCCACTTTTTGATAGGGTTGTTTGATTTTCTTTTCTTGCTGATTTTCCTGAGTTCTACATAGATTCTAGTTATCAGCCCTTTATCTGATGTGTAGCTTTCGAAAATTTTCTCCCATTCTGTAGGTTGTCTGTTTGCTCTTGTGACAGTTTCTTTGGCTGTGCAGAAGCTTTTTAATTTGATCAGGTCCCATTTATATATTGTTGTTGTTGCTTTGATTGCCTTTGGGGTCTTCTTCATAAATTCTTTGCCTAGGCCAATGTCTAGAAGAGTATTTCCAATGTTTTCCTCTAGAATTCTAATAGCTTTACACCTTAGGTTTAAGTCTGTTACCCAGCGTGAGTTGATTTTTGTGAGAGGTGAGAGGTGCAGATCCTGTTTCAGTCTTCTACATGTGGTTATCCAGTTTTCCCAGCACCATTTATTTAATAAGGATTCTTTCCTCCAGTGTATGTTTTTGTCTGCTTTGTCAAAGATTAGGTGGCTATATGAAGATGGTTTTATATCTGGGTTCTCTGTTCTGTTCCACTGGTCAATATCTCTGTTCTTGTGCCAGTCCAAAGTTGTTTTAATTACTATAGCCTCATATAGTTTGAAGTCTGGTAAATTGATACCTCCCATTTTGTTTGTATTGCCTAGGATTGCTTTTGCTATACGGGGTCTTCTCTGTTCC